GAAGAGTGCGGTTTGCGAAGCTAGGTCGGGGGTGTGTCTTTATGATGTTCCCCGTGAGAACGTCGGCCGGTCTGTGGTGCTGAAGGGGGCGTTCAGAGAGCAGCCATGGAACATGCAGACTGGAGATTGCGATTCGATCGATTCGTTGCGGAGGACGAGGGAGCCGATGATGGGTTGCGAGAGGCGGGTATGGTAACCCAGAAGCGGAGGAGTGCAGATGATGGACGATAAGGATAACGGAGGCGCACGGGTCGGTTGCAGGTGGTACCGATGACAAGGGCGAGTCGTGGCGACAGCAGCAGGTAACGGAGGTTGAGTCGGAAGGATCGGTTCTCAGTGCTTGATCTGGGCGAGCTCGATGAACGTCATCTGTTGTTGAAGGGTTGACAGAAGCCTCGTGATGTGCCCAAAGGCGGGTGCCGTCATCGAGTCACACGCATTCAAGCGGTGTACAGGGTCCTTAGGTAAGGTACAGGTGCTGGGGCTCAGGGAGTCGTTAGCCTGGAGCCGAGAGTCACGCCCAGGTCAAGCCTCGGAGGAAGATAAGTAGCAGTAGATAAGGTATAGGTAATTAAATATGGGTGGACTCGATGGGGGGGCGGGGGTGAGTTGGCTTCGGAGGTCAACAGGGCGCCGGCAGGTGAAGATGAGAGTATGATCAAAGGTTTGGTCGAACAAAGGGCGAGAAGAAGAGCAATGGGCACCTTGAAGACGGAGGGACGAGGAGACAGCGGGAGGTCAGGATAAAGACGGGGGTCGTGTTGATCGCGGCAATGGAGAGACGGCGGATGAGGTGCTAGGCAAGATGGCTTGACCCTTCCTGGGCCCTGGGGGAGGACCGACCGCTGGGCGCCTCGTGCGCAGTGCAGCGCGCAGTTTTCCGTCATCACAAGCGCTGGAGTTTCCCCCACAGGGAACTTCTACGCAGTACGTCTCCTGCTCTCCTACCTGGGTCGGTAGATAGGTACCACGGATGGTGACTGGGGGGCGGCCAAGTGGAAGTGGGGAAATGAAGGAAGCTCCACAGGTACCTAGCCTCTCATCCTCTGTCCCGCCTGCCCGCCTTCCATCCACCATCCATTGAGGTGTGCGAATGGCACCATTTCCCAGGGTGTGGTTCAGGCTGCCAAAGCCACCTAGGCTGCTGCTGAGGCTGCCTGCCGTGTCCAGATGCCTGCCCTCCGGTCTGCCTGCCCCTAGGCATACGTGCCCTTGCAAGCTGAGTCATCTGGCCGTTCCCATATCTCGTCTTCCCGCTTCCTGCCTCACATCGACACATCCAAGCGACAGCCTCGACAGGCGCCGCCATGGTCCAGCCATCCACAGGCCCTGATACGGACCCGGTGACTCCTCTTTTACCCCCCTTCCCGAGACGAACCAACTGCATTCATGCAGGGCACCTTAGATAGATGGGGCGCTATTCTCGACAACTCGATAAATTGCCATCATCCTGCATCTTGAGTGAGGCCAACCTACGCACCAAGCCATCCTTGACAAGATGCCAAACTACATTGGGCCAGGCACTCTGCCATTGTGGCTGTCCATCCACCCATCCACCCATTCATTCCCTAGCCGTGCTGCAACTGTGATGTGCTATCGCGATCGACAGTCCTATCAAGTCCTATCCTCGAGTCCGTGACAACCAACCACCTCGTCTCTCGCCAAGCTTGCGATTGGTTCGGCTCACTTACATTCAGCGGCTGTCGAGAATCCCCCGGTCGGAGGAGTCATCAGGGTACGGTGCAGTGATAAGACATCAGCACGGAGAGACCCATCAGGGCCCCCAGGGTTACCAGATGACCAGAGAGGTGCTTACCTTGTAGGGCGAGGCAGGTAAACTTTCGAAGCCTTCATCCGTGCCCATTATCGACCATGGCGGCACTCTTGTCGTTGGCCTCGCTCCTTGTCACGCTTTACTGTCTTGTTCCAGCAGCCAGAGGCAGAAGACATGGCTCAGCACGATTCCCTTGGATATAGTAATCTGGCAACTCTCTGGGTTCAACACACATGTACGGGATTCCTTCTTGCTGGACATCGCATGACTTGATTCGGACAAGATGAATTCGAATAATCAATCAGAGAAGTAGCCCCTGGCTCTCCTCTCCGACTGACAGCCAATGCCTGAAGTCGTTCGATAGTCTATAAGTGGTATTTCAGACGCAGGTAGAGAGCTCCCCCGTTGAAAACTCCGACGTTGCAGCCGTTCTGGACGGAATGCACCAATGTTGTACTGCGGG